ACCCCAGGTCTGTGGGAGATTGAGCCCATGCCTTTCAAGATACAGCCTTCCACTGATCACAAAAGACTGAACCAGGGGAGACAGACCTTGGCTGGACTCCTGTCAGTCCTGGCTGTGTGACCTGTTTCCTCACTTGCAAATTAGAGGATCCTATTTCATATGCCCACAGAGAGGAATAATGACAGAACTAGGGAATAACAGTGGACTTGGTAACATGCCTGGCATAGAGTAGGCCTTTAGGAGCCCCCAGTAGGAAAAGTTAGCATCCATGGAGTGGAGATCTTGCTCCAGACTGAGAAGGACAACCCAAATCCCTTACTGTCAACGAGGGGAGGTGGGTGCTGGCCTGCCTGTAATACTAACAACAAAGCCCAATTACCCTGTGAAGCTGCCCACAGGGGCTCTGAGGGAAGCTAGCTGCAGTGTTTCCCCCCTGCCTGAGAGGTAGGGTGCTCACATCTTCCATGCTGAGTTGCTTGGGTCCCCAGCCAGAGTCCCCACCCCTACCATGGCCACTGATCAAGCAGGTGACCTCAGGCAAGTTCCTGTCCCTCACAGGGTCTCAGTTTCCTCACCTGCAGCTTGGAGCAGTGCACTTAGACCTCTAGGCCCTGCACTGAGATCCATAAGTTCAAGTCTTTCCTATCAAACACTTTGCTTATCACACTAATAAGCAAACCCTGACCCTCCCACCAGCTGTTCTGTGACTTTGGCTAAGTTACTTATCCAAGCCTAATCTGAGTTTCTTTATCTGCAAATGGGGATGATACTTTTCCTGCCTAATTAGATTCTTGTGACAGATAGGAGACACCACCCATTTAAAGCTTTCAGCATTGTGCCTGGTGCATAATAAACCAGCTGCCACCAGTCATTTCTAATTCATGGTGACTGTGCTCCATAGGAGGAGCTCTGGTGGCATAGTGCCTAAGGCATTTGACTACACTGCTAACCAGAAGGATAGCAGTTCAAACCCACCAGCCACTTCTTGGAAGGAAGACTGGGCAATTTACTTCTGTAGAGATACTGCCTTGGAAACCCAAGAAGGGGTCACTATGAGTTGGAATCGACTCAACAGCAGTGAGTTGGGTTCGGTTTTTAGAGAACTGCCCCATAGGGTTTCCAAGGCTGTAAATCTTTACAGAAGCAGACTGCCTCATCTTTCTCCTGAGGAGCAAATGATGGGTTAGAACTGCTGACCTTTTGGTTAGCAGCTGAATGCCTTAACAACTGTGCCACCAGAGCTCCTTCCCATGAGGGCGACCTAGGTTTAATTCCCAGCCAGCACACCTCATGTGCAGCCACCACTCGTCTGCCACTGGAGGCTTGAGTGTGTTGCTATGATGCTCAACAGGTTTCAGTGGTGCTTCCAGACTAAGACTAGGAAGAAAGGCCTGGTGATCAACTTCCAAAAAGCAGCCATTGAAAACCCTGTGTGGATCACAGTGATCTGCATTCTCTTGTGGATGGGGTCACTATGAGTCAGGGGCTAACATTTGACAGCAAATAACAACCACTACCCAGATGCCACTTTTGTTTGTTGGTTTCCAGTAGGGTCTGAGAAGCAGTGGAGGAGGATGAGGGGTCCCTGTGGTTGTCTATTCTAGAGTTATTCTGAGAACCTCCCAAAGGAATCATGTCACTTCCTTGTTTGTGAGGAAAAGAAACCAGAGGACTGGGTGACACAGGCACAAGCTGTCTTTATTTATCCATTTGGTACCTTGGACACCACTCTCAGGAGGCCAAGTTCTCCCAGGCACTGGGAGGGAGAGACCCATTTCTGGTGGGAGTTTTATAGTTCTCATGTTGCCTCATCTTATGCTGGGGTCAGTAGGGTACTGTGCCTGGATGCAAAGCATACAAAATCACAACTGCTTAGTTCTATTTATTAGTATTTTTTTTTCTGCTTATAAATCATTGTTGATAATTGGGAGCAGGGAGGCAGGAAGAAAAAAAGTCACCCATAATCCCTCTACCTAGCTGTAACAAATGTCGGCTTGTTTTTTTCTCCCTCAAGGAAAGAATCAACATTTATTAAGCCTCTAACACGTACCAGAAACTTTCCCTCCCATATCTCCTATTTCCTATAGCCTTCAGATAGGAAAATATCTTTACTGTGCTTTTGATTGTAAAAGCAATAAGGCTCCTTGCATATATATTAAAAAGATAACTCACAGAGGTATAAAGAAGGAAGTAAAATTCATCTATGATTCCAGAGATGAAGTTCCTTCTATTCTCATTTCCTCCTGTGTATATACATTTGTGAACACTGTCCCATGCCACCCCTCCTAGGTGCTTCCCACAGATTACTACATTGTAGGGCCTATTTGCAGATAAGGAAACTGAGGCTCAGGGAAGTTCAGACACATGTCTGCTAAAGTCCCAGGGGACCACCTGCTTCTCCTTTCCCACCCAAGAAGCATGGAAATTTAGGGCTCAGTGAAGGTTCACTGAGTGAACAAATAGATGAGAAACTCTGGTTTCTGGGGGAAAAGTCCATGGCTCCAGGCTTGTTTTGTTTCATTAAGTCATCAAAGGCTGCTTCCAATTTGTATTTTAAAAAAAGAAAACGTCCGAATCCACCTGAGCTGATAATGGACTGGCTGCAATTTCTTGGCTGTTTCCTGAAGACATGGGCTGTCTGAGGGAGGTGAATGAGGCATGCTTGCTTCCCTGCTCTAGAAAAATACAGAGCTCCAAAAAAAGAATGACAGAGAGCTAGGAGGTATGAGAAGCCTACATTTCCTGGTGGTTACATGCTAAAACCTTTCATAGTAAAGAGTGTGAGGACATGGTTAAAATGCCTAACTAAGGCCTCAGCTTGGAGGGTAGTTTACAATCTGGTCACCTAAGCCTACAATTTGGACACGTACTTCAGTTCACTTCCAAACAGAGGCTTTTCATTCTTAGCTGTAATTTCTTGAGAGCTTTCTGAGTATCAGGCTTTGTGTTGCATCCCCTTCATACATCATCTCATGTAACTCTGTAGCAATCCTATTTTAAAGATGAAAAAACTGAGGCACAGAGAGATTCAGCCACCTGGCCAAAGCCACACAACTGGCAAGTGGACAGCTAGGTCTGGAATGAGGTCTTTGTGACTCCCAACCCCTGCTCTTAACTGCTCAGAAGCTCTGCTGACTTCCTACTTCTGTCAGGAAATGGGGGGACCACAGCTCAGATGCATAAGTCCTTCCTTGCCCTGGTGCTGTGGTGGGCATGGGGTGAAAGGGGAAGGAGGAGGAAACCAGAACAGAGTTTCCCTCTAGATGCAGGGCTAAAAAAAATCACAGTCCAAACTTTCATCAACGGACTAGATATGCAAACTATTACCATATCATGAATACTAGTTGCTGTGGAGTTGACTCCAACTCATGGCAAGTCCATGTATGTCAGAGTGGAACTGCACTCCATTGGGTTTTCAAATGGCTGATTTTTCTGAAGGAGATCACCAAGCCTTTTACAAAGCACCTCTGGGTAGATTTGAACCTCCAATCTTCTGTTTAGCAGCCAAGTATATTAACCATTTGTACCAACTAGGGACTTCTCATGGAACTCAGAAGGGAACAAACCACTGATGCACACAGAAAGAACATAGATGAATCTTAAGGAATTTATGCTAAGATAAAGAAGCCAAACACAAAAGGATATATACTGTATGATTCCATTTATATGAGGTTCAAGAACAGGCAAAACTAATGTTGTTGTTGTTGTTATGTGCTGTCGAGGCAGACCTGACTCAGAGCGCCCCTCCTTGGGTTTCCGAGGCAGTATTACTATGGAAGTAGATTGCCCCATCTTCCTTCCGAGGAGTGGCTGGTGGGTTTGAACCGCCAGCCTCCTGGTTAGCAGTCAAGTGCCTTAGGCACTATGCTACCAGAGCTCCAAAGATTTTGGGGAGAGACAGGAGGTTGCCTCAGAAGGGGTAGCTGGGAACTTTTTGGAGTCATAGACAGGTGTACAAATCTGTCAAAACTCATCACACTTTAGGTCAGTGCATTTCACTGCTGGTGAATTACACCTAAAACTATGTCTGCAGTCCCTGAGAAAGCTGCTTTCCCATTTACTTCCCTAGAAGTAGAAGCTGGGTTGGCTGTGGAGCAATTTGTGAGGTCAAGAGAGAATGTCAAAAACAGAAAGTGAATTAGTGGCTGCCAGGGGCTGAGGAGAATGAGAGTGATGCTTAATGGGTATGGGGGTTTCCACTTGGGGTGATGAAAATGTTTTAGAACTGGATAGAGGTGACAGCTGTCAACATTGTCAAGTACTAAATACCACTGAATTGTACACTGTAACATGGTTAATTTTATGAATTTTACCTCTTTTTTTCCCCCCAAAAAAAAGATGGAGAAAAGGGAGCAAACTCTCCCTCTAATGAGTTCTCACTACTAGCATCTGACCATCTGTGAATGCCTCCCCAATGAACTGTGCAGGCCCAGGTCCGATACACCTGACTGCTTGCTGCCTGTAGTGCAGATAGTTGAATGCTCACAATTAGCGTACAAGTTTGACTGCTGAGTGAGTAAGTGAATGAACAAAGAATGACTGAACAAATGAATAAATGCATGAATGAATAAGTAAATGAATGAGTAAATGAGTGAGTGAACAAATGAATAAGATTGAACAAATGAGCAAGTGCATGAATGAATGGAAGGATGAATGAATGGATGTGCAATTCATTAAGTGAAGGAGTAAGTGAATGAACCTGGGCAAAAGAATAGACTTTGGACCCAATCTGTGTGGGTTCCAATCCTGGCTTTGCATTGATAGGTGACTTAATCTCTCCATGCCTCAGATTTCCATTTGTAAAATGAGGATGGTGGACTGTGGTGACAAATAAATGAGCTAAAGTGTGTAAAGTGCTTAGAGCAATGCCTGGCAGGGTAAACCTTCCTTAAGTGTCTCTATTAAAGAAACACACACCCATACACATAAAGAATTTCTTCCTTCTCCGAAGGAGGCGCCCACGTGGCCCCTGCCCCATTTGCAGCCTTGTCCGGACCTACCGAGGAGCTGCACCTCATCAGTGATGCCGTAGACATCGATGAGCGCCCAGAGCGGTCCACCCACGGCCACGCCGCAGTGGAAGAGAACGGGCTCACCGTCGTTGACGCTGTAGAAGACGCGGCCGTGGCGGTCGGCCCAGTAGGCCAGCACGGTGTCACGTAGCGCCAGGCTCTCTGGCAGCGCCTTGGCCCAGTAGCCGGGCCTCGTGACAAGATCAGGGCAGGCATACTTGGGGATGTCGTGGGCGCTCATGAGCGATGGGTCATGTGCCGTGAAGCCGAAGCGCAGTGCGCCACTCCAGCCTGGACGCACGGCCACCAGGCGCAGCCGCACCTGCTCGTACAGCCGGATGGGCCGCTGTGTGAAAGTGACGCCGTTGCAGAAGCTGTTGCGTCGCGTTGCCCGGCGCGAGTGCCCGTCCAGCCTCACGTTCTTGCCTTTGGCCTGCGCGTGGAAGCGTGGCGCCTCGCCTAGGACTGGGCGCCGCTCAGGGCCAGGGCCGCAGCATGGCCGGGTGGCCAGGAGCCGTGCAGGTGGGCTAGAATCTGTGGAAGAGACAGGATGGTTAGGCGCCTCCAAACTCTCCGAGCCCTATTAGTATTTTAATAATCATTTTACTTTAAGTCCTGTTTTAATAAGACCTAGAATTGCTAAATTTGAGAAGGTTCCAAACTAGACCAAAGGGGGACAGTCTTTGCCAACCATTTTCAGTCTGCCTAGTGCTGCCACAGTAAAGTCACTGTACCCACTTCACAGACAAGCAAACCCAGGCTTGGACAGGGTGAAGCACTAGAATGGTTTCACGCTTAGAGTTGTCAAGACCAGTGAGCTTGTCACAATAGCTGGATTAAGCACAATGACTTCTCCATTCCCATCAAATCCCTCCAAACCTGCAGGCCTTCCTCCAGAGGGCAGTACCCCAGCAGTTGCTCTTCTAAGACTCTGGCAGTCCATAGGAACACACAGTCATGTCTTGGAAGAAGTCCTGCTGGAATGCTCTTGAGAAGCAAGGAAGATGAGACTTCACTTCTCAGGAGGGACCAGTCTTGGAGAAGGACATGCTTGATACTGGCATCAATTCTTCTGTGGTCTTCCTTATTCACTGTCCAACTTTCACATGCATACAAGACAACTGAAAATACATGACTTGGGTCAGATGCACCTTAGTCTTCAAAGTGACATCTTTGCTCTTTAACGATTTTTAAAAAGAACTTTTGCAAGTAGACTTGCCCAGTGCAATACATCATCTCATTTCTTGACTGCTGCTTCCAAGGGCATTGATGGTGGATCCAAGTAAAATGAAATCCCTGACTTAAATCTTTTCTCTATTTATCATGATGTTGCTTATTGCTCCAGTGAGAATTTTTGTTTTCTTTATGTGTAGGTGTGATCCATACTGAAGGCGGTAGTCTTTGATCTTCATCAGTAAATGCTTCAAGCGATCTTTACTTTCAGTAAACAAGGTTGTGTCATCTCCATATTGTTAATGAGTCTTCCTCCAATCTTGATGCCTCATTCTTCATATAGTCCAGCTTCTCAGGTTATATGTGCAGCATACAGATTGAATAAATATGGTGCAAGTTTACACACCTGATGCACACCTTTCCTAATTTTACACCAGGCAGTTTAAAACCTATTCTGTTCAAATGACTGCTCCTTGGTCTATGTACAGGTTCTTCATGAGCACAATTAAGTGTTCTGGAATTCCCATTCTTTGCAATGTTGTCCATAATTTGTTATGATCCACACAGTCGAATGCCTATGGTAAACATCTTTCTGGTATTCTTTGCTTTTAGCCAAGATCCCTTTGACATCATCAGCAATGATATTCTGTGTTCCCCAACCTCTTCTGAATCTGGCATGAATTGCTGGCAGTTCCCTGTTGATGTACTGCTGCAGTTATTTTTAAGTTATTATCAGTAAAATTTTGCTTGTGTATGACATTAATAATATTGTTCAATAATTTCCACATTCTGTTCTATCGCTTTTCTTTAGAATGGACACAGATGGATCTATTCCAGTGAGTTACACAGTGTGGTAGTTAAGGTTGTATGTCAACTTGGCTGGGCCTACTTGAGTGGCTGGGCAGCTGGTGGTAGTTATTCCCCATGATGAGACTGGCAATCAACTCCATGGTGGGATCTACCACAAGGAGATGAGTAGCTGCTTTAGGGATGAAGTCTGCTTCCCATATGTAAGAAGTAGCTTTTGGAATAGTCTACAGCTTATGGCACACTTGAACCCTGCATGTAGCTGTGTTGTTGTTCAGCAGCCTGCCATGCTCTGCTGACATTGGGACTTTCAATGGACTTGAATTAATGGCCTGCCATGTGGTTTGGTAACATCAGGACTGTGGCTTATTACTTGTCAACCTTGGGCTTGTCAGCCTCAGCAGCCAGCAGCTGAGTGAAGAAAAGCCTCCAGCTTCAGTACACCAGGAGCAGGAGACAGAGATGAAGCCCAAGGTTGAGGGGCTTTCACCCAGCCCCTAGAGCCTGGCACTTTGAACTCGGACTTAAAGCCTCCAAGCTGTAAGAGAATATACTCCTATTTCTTCAAGCCATCCCATTTGTGGTATATTCTTGTCAGAGCGGTACTAGGTAACTGAAACAGGCAGCAGGTAGCTGTTTTCCAAATTTCTCGGCATAGACAACTGAAAGCTTATAGCATTGTATCTGTTGAAACATCTCAATGGTATTCTATCAATCTCTGGAGCCTTGTTTTTTGCCAATGTTTTCAGGGCATCTTGAACATCTTCCTTCAGTGCCATGAGTTCTTGATAATATGCTGCCTCCTGAAATGGTTAAACACTGACCAGTTCTTTTTGGTACAGTGATTCTGTGTATTCCTTCCATCTTCCTGAGATGCTTCCTGCATTGTTCAGTATTTTGCCCATACAGTCCTTTAGTATTGCAACTTGAGGCTTGAATTTTTCTTCATTTCGTCAGCTTGAGAGATGCCAAACATGTTCTTCCCTTTTGGTTTTCTAACTTCAGGTCTTTGCACATTTCATTAGGATACTTTATCTTCTTGAGTCACCCTTTGACATCTGTTCACCTTTTTTTACTTCATTATTTCTTTCATTTGCTTTAGCTACTTTCCATTCAGGAACAAGTTTCAGAGTCTCTCTAACATCCAATTTGGTCTTTCCTTTCTTTCTTGTCTTTTTAATGACCTTTTGTTTTCTTTGTGTGTGGTGTCCTTGATGTCATCTCACAACTCGTCTGGTCTTTGGTCATTAGTATTCAGTGTGTCAAACCCTATTCTTGAGATAGTCTCTAAATTCAGGTGGTGTACACTCAAGGGTATAATTTGGATCCAGTGGACTTGTTTTAATTTTCTTCAGCTAACCTGAATATGCATATGAGCACTTACTTGATGGTCTGTTAAGCAGTCGGCTTCTAGCTTTGTTCTGAGTGATGATATTGAGCTTTTCCATCTTTTCACAGATGTAATTAATTTCATTCCTGTGTGTTCCATGCAGTGGGGTCCACGTGTATAGTCACCATTTATGTTGTTGAAAAAAGGTATTTTCAATGAGTAAGTCGCTGGCCTTGGAAAATTCTATCATGTGATCTCTGACATCATTTCTTATCACCAGTTCTGTATTTTCCAATCACTGATCCTTCTACTTTGTTTTCAACTTTTGCATTACAATCACCAGTAATTATCAACACATCTTGATTGCATGTTTGATCAATTTCAGACTGCAGAAGTTGGTTAAAGTCTTCAATTTCTTCATCTTTGGTATTAGTGGTTGGTGCATAAATTTGAATAATAGTAATATTAACTGGTCTTCTTTTAGGTGTATGGATATTACCCTATTACTAATAGCACTGTACTTCAGGATAGAGCTTGAAATGTTCTTTGTGACAATGAATGTGACACCATTCTTTTTCAATTTGTCATTCCCAGGACAGTAGACCATATGATTGTTTGATTCATAATGACCAACATCAATCCATTGCAGCTCACTAATGCCTAGAATATTGATCTTTATGTGTTCCATTTCATTTTTGATGACTACCAATTTTCCTAGATTCATACTTTGTATAGCCCACATTTCCAATTATTAATGGATGTTTGTAGCTGTTTCTTATTTAGATTCATTCCACAAATGAAGGTCCTGAAAACTTTACTCCATCCATGTCATTATGCTTAACTCTCCTTTAAGGAGATAGGCTTTCCCAGTCATATTTTGTTTGCCTTCCAATCTGAGGGGCTCATCTTCCAGTACTATATCAGACAGTGTTCTGCTGCTATTATTTATAAGGTTTTCACTGGCCAATTTTTTTAGAAGTCTATTGGCAGGTCCTTTTTCCTAGTATTAGTCTGGAAGCTTTGCTTAAGCCTGTCCAACATGGTTGGTGACCCTAGCGGTATTTGAAATACCATTGGTATAGTTTCCAGCATCACAACAACATGCAAACCACCACAATATGACAAAATTGACAGCTGAAAATCATGATAACACTGAGGTTACAAAGGAATACCAGGTCAAGATGCTGCAACTTCCTTTTCCCTTCACCTGCAGCAAATGAACACATTCTTTACAAGCAAGGCTGGCTTTTCCCGAACGTATACCCTTCAGGAGTCATTTCTAAGGAAATTCTGCCCCAAAGGCCCTGGAGAATCCTGGGATAGCCTCCTTTCAAAGGACCTGGCTACAAACTCAGATGTCCTGATATTAATGTGGGCCCTTGGCTTTATTTCTTGTATTTTGTCTTCTGTGGGTCAGTGGCTTCTGTTTGCAGAGAACCTCCTAGGTTCCCAGCACAATTTCCTTTCCACTCTTCCTCCTCCAATCCAAGGGGGCAGTGTCTGGAAGGCTCTGGCAGCCTGAGAGGTGGCAGGGTGGGTAATTACTGCACAAACCTCTGCTGCTCATCCACAGGGGCAGTGACTACAATTTTCATGGCAGATTCTCAGGAATCATAGACCACCTCAGGCACACAATTGTCTGTAGTCTCTAAAGAAGAATGGTGACATAGGGCAATGAGAGCCACTTCAGGGACTACTCTTGTGCCCAGCCACAGGGCACACTGTGCTCTGGGAATATCAGGGGATTTCACAGGCGCAAGGACAGGAGAAAATGAAAGGAGAGATTGACAATGACCCGGCAAGCCAGCCATGGCTCCCCTCCTTAGGCTGGAGGGGAAGGGATGCTTGGTTAGTGAGGGAGGAAAGGTCACTGAGGGAGGAAATTGTGCTGGGAACCTGGGAGGTTCTCTGCAAACAGAAGCCACTGACCCACAAAAGACAAAATACAAGAAATAAAGCCAAGGGCCCACATTAGGGAAAGGAATGTAAGGGATTTTAGTCGTTTAGTCATTTCAAAAATATTTAGTGAGCACTGGTATATGCTAGGCACCATGCTAGGCACTAGACATACAGCAGTCACCAAGACAGACAAGGTTTCTGCTTGGACAGAGCTGATATTCCAACAACCAATAAAGCATAATCTTCCTGGTAGGATAAGTTACAGAGAAAAGCACACCCAGGGATGATATTATGAACTGAATTGTATTCCCTCGAAATATGTGTT